ATTTTAAAAATATTTAATAATTAAAATAATATATACCAAACATTTAAAATTATAAAATACTATTATTTACTTAATAATTCTTATAATTAGCCAATTATACAATTTTCAAATTTTCGAAATGCAAAAAATTAGACTATTTTTCATGGTTTCAACTTTTAACTAGACGAGTCCTTGAAATTTTCTAACATATTTTCATTTTTGACTTTTGTATAGATAAAGTCATTTACAAACTTGAAATTGAAGTCAAATAAAAGACTTTAAAAAAAAAAAGAGGAAAAAATAAAAAAATTTAATAAAGTGACATTAGGCACTTATCATCAAGGCGTGACGTTTCTCCAGGGTCTCGCGCCTATACGAAGCCTAGGCGCTGCTTGAGTGGGATTTTTAGAACACTGATATCTAGTATTTATCGACCTTGGTACACAATTTGTGAAAATGAAATCACAAATGATTATACATCCTGATCTTTGGGACACCCATGAAATTCATAAATTTCTTCTACAAAATGAATATTATTTTGTAAAACAATAAATGGAAATATAGCTATTGAAGATGTATCTATGTTGGGAATTGGGATGATTGTGTGTGAGTTGAATCTAAAGACTTTTTTCTGAACGTTAACAATTTATACTCTCTCCCTCCCTCCTTCCCTCTGAAGTATGTGCCCATATGCACATGCAAGTTACATGAAATGTTTTTGTGCATGCCATGGTTTAAAAAGGCTGTTGAGGCGCGCTTCACTGTGAGGCGCATGTAGTATTCCTTGAGGCGGTATTTTTGAGGCTAAAAATATGAGGCTCACGCCTCTAAATCTGAGGCGCACGCCTCAAGGTGAGNACAAACACGATTTCATCAAATCACTTGTATAAACTCTAAAACTAGATGAAGATGATTTTGTAGAAATTGAGAGTAGCGAAGAGGAAGATGACGGGAAAATTAGATATGATGATTCCATTAACTATAGTGATGATAGTGCAAACTATTAGCTTTTTTTTTAGTTGAAGTTGCTTCTTTTTTTCCATTACAAATGGAGTGATTTCTAACTACTGTAATACTTTTTATTTTGTTAAACATCTTCTTTCTTGAGGTTGACTATATCTTAATTTGCTAATAGCTATATATCATATTTACTATATGCTCCAACTTTGATTTTTTTGTATTTTTGTATTATTTTATAATTCTTTTACTTAGATTTTTTATTTTTTGTGAGGCTTACGTCTCAATTCGCTTTGAGGCTTACGCCTAGCCTCATAATGAAAAACCGCACAATACTTAGTTTCGCATTTTTAAATTTTGGTGCATGCTAATCGATTACTACTATATGAGACATGCATGTGGTCCAACTCATGCCAGTAAACTTCCCTCTAATATCTACTATATTTCTGGGTTTATACTTGATTTCCATGTAGATAAGCTCGCAAAAGAAAAAAACTGGTGTCATTGCTCCTAAGCGTTTCGTCCAGAGATTGAAGAAGCAACATGAAGTTTTCCGCAGCTTTATGCATCAGGTATGCTTTACTCACTCTAATCCGAAAAGAGATGGACAAATATGCTAAGGCCTTGACTTTTTGGTTAAAAGAATAGAAAGTAAAATACGGACCCTGCCTGCCATATTTGAATTATATGGACATCTACTGAGTCGCGTTAGTGAGTACATTATATTGTAGACTAGTGATGTGTGTGGATGCTTCCATTCTTGGATGAATTCAGAAATCCGTGAAATCAGCTAACAGTTGAAGTTCTGTGAATTATAATTTCTGGTAGAATAGACATTTCTTTCGGGAACTAAATCATATTGTAACCAATTACTTCTGCCTGCAGATACGTCCTCATAGGCATCCAGCTGCAATTATAACTTCATTAACAGATTTTTCCTCTTATCTGACACATGCACACCGCTTACAGGACAATGTCATGACATGGTATCTGCAATGGTTTTCACGTTAAGAGTCCATGCACCACATTAAACACCTCTTATGCTTACGTGGTTAGAATACAATTTTTCTAGAAAAAAAGTGACTTTTATACAGAGCCATACAAGCTCTCATTTGAGTGGGTGTTTTGGTTATAACCTAATGCTTAATATGACTTGCATGTTTTAAACTTATTGCTCGTACATGTTAAGTTTTATGTCACTAATAGTTGTTGCATTTGGCACGTTATTTTTTAATAGTCCTATCATTATCACGAATTAATTTAAAACCATGAGTTTGTGGTCAAATAATTTTATTTCGTCATTTCTGGACAATTATTTCTTTCTGTGTGTGCCATTTGCTCTTGCTCCCTTCCCTTCTCAACTCCTACATCCAACCATTATTTATTTTACGAACTTATCCAAAAGGGGAAAACCACAAGATTCATGATGGTAATGACACTGGTTTCATTCCTAAATTGCCAAACTAATAATGAACTTTCTTCTCAAGCGAGTTATAGTTAATTGTAGGGGTAGAAAATGGGTTCATGTGGTGGTTTGATACAACTTGAAAATGGCTCAGTTACATGCAGCTTTAAGCTTAAGAGCATTGCCAATGGTGGTGTAAAATTGGGTGCAAATTCATATCTCCAAAATCACTTTTGCATCTTCATTTACATTCCGGTGGATCTAAATTCAAATTTTGCTCAAATGGAAAAATCTAAATCCACCTTTTGCCTCTTGTGGATGTAAATTTACATATTTTTTTACATTTTCTGCCGAAAAATGCAATTTACATTTCTTTTGCATCTCTCCATTGGAGAGGTTTCTTAGATCTATTTTATACCATTATTGGAGATGCTCTAACTGGTCTATTGGAGCCACTGGAGGACCAACTTTGACTTGGATTCAAACGCATTCCATATTTATCATCATGAAATTCTAATATCTGCAATTGGAGTATCCGTGTTTAGTATTTAGAGGGAGAGTGATAATTCTTTGGACAGATTGACAGGTTCTGAAGAATATAATTAGAATGAGAATCACTATTTTATGTTAATTGCAATGTCAATTTGGCATACTCTAATGGGTGCGTAGGTGTAGTTGCTAGATGTTGCACTAGGTAAATGCATGTTCAATAATTGAAAAAGTTCACCTTGAAAGTGCCTTATTTGGTTATAAGATGCTTAAGTTTCGCAGAGTCATGTCTGTCCTTGTATACTTTTTACCAATACTTTATTCTCATGAATCCTTGATATGTTCAACGACGCTTAATGATTGTTCTCTATCAAGTCTATCCTCTTGAGTCTTTGCTTTAATCTTATGGAACAGTTGGATGTAGTAATGTTACCATATATTTTTTTTATCTGATTCATATCTCTTTTCTCTGATTTTACAGTTATTAATGATTTTTTTGCATTTTCCATATATTTTGAAAACTATGTTTACTGTTTACATCTGCTAATGCTGTTTGTATCTTTCTTATCTAGGATGCCCATGAATTCCTGAACTATTTGCTAAATGAACTGGCTGACATATTAGAAAAAGAGGCCCGTGTCGCTAAGAGTGATCATGAAACTTCATCTCAATCTGAAAAGGTTACTAATGGGTGTATTACTTCTAACGGTCCTCAAAAGGAGCCTCTGGTCACCTTGGTGCACAAAAATTTTCAGGTGACCTTCTTTTCCTATTTATCTTCATGCTCCTCTCTCTCACCCTCTTCTTTTTCTTTGGGCACTGTTGATTATAAGAAAGGGAGAGATACTGCAATTTTGTCTCCTTTTTTTTTTCTTTGGTCCTATTGATGCATGAATCATATTATGTTGAGTTGTTGGAAACACTTCTCTGAGAAGTGTGATTGCATGATTCTGATGATAAGCATGGAGCTTGTTCAAATTACTGGCCTTTATCTTCTTTTTCTTACTACTACTAGTACTACTTTTAGCCTCAATTGCTATAAGAGGTGGTTGGCATTGATTCGTTCTGACTAGTTATGCTTTTGTGTCCAACAAGCAAATAGTTGGGACCTTCCTGGGAATGCATTAAATTTTTAAATGGCATTAGTTCACTACTTTTCAGGCGTCTCATTATCGTTTATGGGTGATTTCCAGGGTATATTGACAAATGAAACAAGGTGCTTGTGTTGTGAGACAGTGACGGCAAGGGATGAAACGTTTCTTGACTTGAGCCTTGATATTGAACAGAACAGTTCAATTACAAGCTGTCTGAAAAATTTTAGCTCAACTGAGACTTTAAATGCCGAGGACAAATTTTTTTGTGATAAATGCTGCAGGTAAGTTGCATTTTCATTATACTTGGATGGCTTGGGTTTATCTTTTAGACTGCCTGTATCTTCTTGTTATTGGATGGACTAGTCTCACATTAATAAGGAAGAGGCAAGATACTGATAATTGCTTCTGTTCTGAGTCAAGCTATGTGGTTGATAGGATTTAATTCATCGCAAATTAATTTCTGGTTAAAAAGAGGGTAATATACTTGATTTATCTCTAATTTACTTTTGTTACCTCCTGAAATTCAAAAAAGTTAAACCTATCCTGAAATCAGAAAGGAGAAAACAAGGTAAAATATATCCGAGGATATTGGCATATTTCATTCTTATTCAAATTCATTTTTTATAATGTTAGATAATGAATGGATCGAATTGTTAACCAAGGACGTATTATTGTGTATACTTGTGAATTCCTTCCAAGACTCCTATAGCATGTTATTCTAATGGATTATAGGAATGTAGACCTCCTGTTACTCTTTTTTTGAGGGGTTTTGGTGGGTGGCCGTGCTGTTTTATTTCTGAAAGCTAAATTGGTAGAATCATTTGGCCGACTGGTTTAATATAGACATGCCTTGTATTCGTCTCTAGAGAGAAGGGATGAAGATGATGTTGAATCTTTTCAAAATTTTCTATAACTACGCCTTAAAATTGTTTCAATATTCAGTTTGCAAGAGGCCCAAAAGAGAATGAAGATAAAAAGGCCCCCTCACGTCCTGGTCATCCATTTGAAGAGATTCAAATACATTGAACAGCTTAACAGGCATAAGAAGCTATCTTATCGCGTTGTCTTCCCTCTTGAGTTGAAACTGAGCAATACAGTCGAGGATGCAGATGCTGAGTATTCCCTATTTTCTGTAGTAGTCCACGTGGGGAGTGGGCCCAACCACGGACACTATGTCAGCCTCGTGAAAAGTCACAACCACTGGTTATGTTTTGATGACGAAAATGTGGAGATGATTGATGAATCTGCTATTCAGACTTTCTTCGGATCAGCACAAGAGTATTCTAGTAACACAGATCATGGCTACATCTTATTTTACGAAAGACTTGTTGCCTCTAGCAGTAGCTGAGAGAAGATAGAAGTTTAGCCTCGACCAGTGCCACTCCAATTTTGGTCTTGTTTTTTTTTTTTTTTTAACATTTTTACGTACTTTGTTCTTCACCATTACCTTCCTATAATTTATGGGAAACTTTTCTTTAATATCAAGCAGGTTGAAATGAAATGACTTGGATTGTTGCCATGTACAGTGACGATGGAAGCTAACAGTCCATTCTTCCAACAATAAGGAGAAAAAGATGTATTTATTTATGAACTCTAATTTTGTTTTTTCCAATTCATGGGAAATAATTTCCAGCTTCTGTGGCTGATGTGTTTTGCAGGCTGTCGAGGTTTTTTCCCCTCTATGTGACGGTGTACATGTAATGGATTTGTATGGATTTTGGTTAAATTTTACGAGTATTACCTATGCCTTTTCTTTATCCTCTCCCCCTCAAATGTTGTCAAATGCTATTCTTAACGTGTCATCTAGAACTGAATAGGCCGGGAAGAAAGAGTATGATACTGGGTTGGATATTGTACATCTTGTCGCTGCGCGAAGATGGATAAAGTTGTCAATTTGTTTCTGAAAGGAACAGCACGGATCAACACTTACCTTTGCATTTCTGCACCATGTTTGTTGAGTCTTAGGAATTATGAGCAAGCCTGATTATTGGAACGAGTTGTGTGAGGCCTAATGGGATTTACAGATTGCTATATGAGCATAGGACGGTTTGTACAATGTTATTCTTTACTTAAGGATATATTGCGTCAAAATGAAATAAAAAGAATCATTTGCGCAAACATGGAAAGATTAAGGACATTTTTGGGTCAATTATTCCTATAAACTGTGCTATCTGGAAGCTAAAAGGGATTTCCCTTGTTGGAGATTATACTCAATTTCTTCATATTTCTCTCTTTATTTTTAATTTTTTGTTACTTATGGCCCTGTAAAACTTGATTAACACAGTCCATTAGGGTTTGAATAAAAATTAAATATCAATTTTATAAAAATGAATTATAATTTTTAAACAACGTTGTTATTACGACATTCTAAATCTTAAATTTTTTTAGAAATAGTGTCTTCAAGTGTTACATTATTGAAAATTATGGCACCTGGATGTGGTGTACCGGAATTATTCAATGGCATTAACACAATGTACCATGCAACTCCTCCCTCCCTTCATAGTACACTTCCTTTCCAACGAAAACCAATTGGGATCACAACCTACTTGTCTATCAATTTCTAAAGGGTTTTCCTTGAAATGGTATTGAACACGTAATCTTGTAGTCGATTTGTAACGGAAGCTGCAAGAAATAAACATTTCTTTTGTTTCGGGGGATCATTGGGATCGATATCCATTCAACGGTCGTAATTCTTTTCAGCCAAACGACGGCCGAATTTAAAGTGGGTGGAAGTCATAATATGGTTGATATGGTTAGTGTTGCAGTGAAAGATCAGATCACAATTAGAATAACATATATATTTTTCATCCTTATCTGACAAATCAATACTCGAGCCATCCTAGGCTGTGCACACTATTACAAAGATTAGTTTTTATGGCGGCATGCCATAAATACTTTAAATAATTGAACATTTACGGTGTATATTTAAATAACGTCGTAAATGGTCTATTTCAACGACATGTTGTTCCATAAATCGATGCCGCGAAAGGCATATTTTGATGTCTCGCGACCAAGAAATGGTGCCAGAAACCATGTTATATATGATTGCTCTCATTATAATAATCCATTGGCAACGCTAATGTTTCATTCTAATACCTTTAGGATGGTTCGAACTGCTGCCAAATGCCGATAACCCATCTTGAAAAATCAGAATAATTAGAATGCATTTATGATTCGACACACATACATTTAACCAACTAAACGCTCATTGACGAGGAGAAAGTGCTATTACTAGGAAGTGAGAGTCACTTCCTGCCAGATCTTAAATGCACACCTGCTTAAGAAAAGCTCTCCTTTCCCTTCCCTTTCAACACGTTTTTAAACTCATATATATGAAATTTATACCTCAATATCATCAACTTATTGCTCAAAGAAATAATATAATTAATTGAAACAAAATCAAAAGCAATTAGAGAATAGCATAGGTTTGTGAAACTAGCTTTAATTTATTTATTCTCATTTGTATCTCAACTTTAAATAATTGTAGTCGGAGTTGAATAAACTATATAACATATAACACGTTAGAGATATTTTCAAACAGTTAGTTTTCCACGATTTTTTTTTTTTTTGAAGATTTCTCGTCGATTGATCATTACTAATCTCCAAACCAAAAATTACGAAACCAAACAAACACCATTCCACCACAAAAACCCATACCCACACAAATATCACTAAATTAATTTGACTTTGCTATACATTTAGCAAAGTTTTAAGTACCCCCACATCGAGGCATCATCATTTTTGACAATTGTAAGAGAATCGAAATTCTAGTGATATCAAGGTCGTGATTGAGTTGGTAAGTCTTGATCGCAAACTCTAATTCACCGTCGAAATCGCTGTTGTTAGGATAAGAGTCTTGAGATAACTGAATCAATTGAAGTATTTCTTGTCTTGATGGAGTCCTTAGAGTCGTCACCCTTTAGAGAACATCATAAAGTTTTGGAGAAACTTGAATTGTGATGTCTTTAATCTACTTGTTGCGACTTATAGAGTGGACGGCTAAGAAAAGAAGAAAGAAGCATAAGAAAAAATGGAAGAATCCATTAACTTTGAGTTTGATACAGCTTAATGGAATCTGTTAGTTTTTTATGATTATAACTTTCCTTGGAACTCTTTTTCTAATTTTATCTTTGTCAACTGGTTCATAATAGTTTTTCATGAGAAAAAAATAAAATAAAATGAAAAAAAAAAATAGAAAAAGAACAAAGCCTCAACCCACCCATCTCCCAATTATAACACTAGAGGGAGTTTCCTTGTTGGAGATTATACTCAATTTTCTTCATATTTCTCTCTTTATTTTTATTTTTTTGTTACTTTTGCCCTGTGAAACTTGATTAGCACATAATTAGCCTAAGGATTACGATATGAATCCTAGTATATATATTTCGTCACTCTTTTCTGATAAATCAATACTTCTATGCAGCCATGACCTGATTGATGGTTCCATCAAAATGGGGCAATCAACCAGGCTAATTGGCCAGGTCTGTCACAATATTCGAGCATCCTAGGCTGTGTACACTACGACAAAGTTTACTTTTTACGACTTGTACGTCGTAAATAATTTAATTAATTGAACATTTACGACGTATGTTTAAAGAATGCTGTACATGAAAGCAGTGAATCAACGCAGCGAAAGACATATTTTGACATAGTGAGTCTCGGGACAATTTTTCTCATCAAGGTCGACCAAGAAATTGATCCCGGAACCATGTCACGCTTGCTCTCTTTATAATAAACCATTGGCAATGCTAATGCTTGCACTCGTTTCATTCTAATACCTTTAGGATGGTTGTGATCAAATTTGTCAAACTGCGGCCAAATGCCAATAACCCATCTTGAAAAGTCAGAATAATTGTAAATTTATAGATTCCATTTATGACTCGATACACACACATTTAACCAACTAAACATTATAGTAATATATTAGTTCAATCAAAATAAGAATTAGTACTCTGCAGTTACATTACAATTAACTACAAACTTAAATCCAATGTACCTACATATTTACTTAAAAATAAATCCCATGTAAACAAACATAAAGTTAGATAATAAGTCAAGTTTGAAAAGTGTATGTGCTTCTTATAGGTATGCCTAACTTCCTCCTGAAATATATTGCTTGAAGTGTTGGCTACTCGTAGATCTGTTGGATAGGCGAGTTAGCTACTTTCAATCTTTAGTTACGGGTATTAGGTTAGGAGATATTTGTAGAACAGTGTATTTGTGGAACCAGCTATGCACATTACATTACATACCCTTTAAAGCTATTGTTAAGGTATAATTGCCTCATGTAGAAAAATATAAATGCTCATTGATGAGGAGAAAGTCATATTCCTAGGACACGAGAGTCACCAAGAAGTGACAAGCATCTACCAAGGTGAGAAAATATCACTCACAGAAGACTACTAAATTGTTTGAGAAAGAATTACTAGTCACTAACTCGAGGTGAAAGAACGACTCTTTTCGGGGTACCCTATTATCAATTATGATCACGATAAAAGAACTTCGCGTACAGATGATCTTGTAGGAATAAGAGCTAGCCTTATATATATCAATCTTGATTACTGGCTAAATTTTACTACTCTTTGGTTAGTTTTTATTTTGTTTTTTGATTTTTCAATTGAGGGAAAGTCAAGTATAAGGTTTGCAGAACTATAATCTGAAACTTTGCCCCCACCCCCAAAAATAAAAAATTAGCAATCTTAAATGCACACCTGCTTAAAAAGCTCTCCTTCCCTTACCAACACGTTTTTAAACTCATATATATGAATTTTTACCTCAATACCATCAACTTATTGCTCAAAGAAATAATATAATTAATTGAAACAAAATCAAAAGCAATAAGAGAATAGCATAGGTTTGTGAAACTAGTTTTAAGTAATTTTATTATCATTTGTATCTCGACTTTAATTAATTGTAGTCAGATTCCAATAAACTCGTTCAATTGAAAATTATATTACACGTAACAAATGTTAGACATGATTTTTGTTAAAAATTTCTCTTCAAACGATCACCACTAATCTACAAACAAAAATCACGTTCGTATTTTTGGCTAAATATCTCAACCTTCGCTAAATATGAATTTAAAACTTCTGGAAAGAAAATACACAGTGAATTGGAGGGTTCGTATTTAGGTACATTGAGTTATGCCATTGAAGAAGTCTAGTACCCCACATCAAGGCATCATCATTTTCTAGTTATGAAGGTCGTGATCAAGTTGGTAAGTCTTGATCGCAAACTCTAATTCACCGCCGAAATCGACATTGTTAGGATCGAGAGTATTGAGATAACCAAATCGATTGAGGTATTTCTTGTCTTGATGGAGTCCTTCAAGTTGTCACTCTTTAGAGAACCTCGTAAGTTTTGGAGAAACTCGAATTAAGCTGGTTGTTTGGTCTTTTAGTGAGATACTGTGACTTTGAGTAGCTAATAAAAGAAGGAAGAAGCATTAAAAAAAATGGAAGAAACTATAATCTTTGAGACTATCGACTTTGAGATTGATACAGCTCAATGGATCTGTTAGTTTTTAATGATTATACCTTTCCTTGGAACTCTAATTTTATCTTTGTCAACTAGCTTATAATAGTTTAATTTTCACGAGAAAAGAAAAAGAAAATGAAAAAAATAATAGAAAAAGAACAAAGCCTCAACTTCTACTTATAACACTATAAATACAGGAGTTTCTCTTTGCATTATTCATCACACCAGCAAATACATTCTGATAAAATACTTTCCTACAAAATTACTCATGACAGCAATAGCACTTCCCACTTTCTTTTTCATCATATTTTTATGCCACACTCTCTGTAATTCTTCTGACTTGGAATCTCTAAAACACTTTGAGGTTTATTGTAAGAGGGATCATGGACTACTTCCAGTCAAGAGGTATCTTAACCGATATGGTTATCTCGATAATCTTGATCTCAACAAGGATATATTCGATGATGAGTTGGAATCAACGACCCTTACTTACCAACTCAATTACCACCTGGACACTGCGGGAATTCTAGATTCCGACACCTTGTCCAAAATGATGGGTCCACGATGTGGGGTTCCCGACATAATCAATGGAACAAATACCATGAAACACGGCACCAAACCCTTTAATAATTCACTGTACTCTTTCTTCTTCCCAGATCGTTTTGTCAAATGGAATATAACCATCTTTATGTATAAATTTATGAATGTTTTTCCTCCAGAAGGTATCGATTATGTTGGACAGGCACTTGATATATAGAAAATCTCTTCTGATTATATAAAAATAAGAAGAGATTTTCTATATATTGGTCGTCGACGGTCGACGGCTGCCCTAGCTGACTTCTATTCTGGATTCGCCGTTGGCTTTGAAGATGAGGTCGAAAAGTAACAAAACTTCTCAATGAAGGACTTTAGGAACTACAAGTAATATTAATAGTTGGCACGACAGGTCTTGGAAAGACAAACACTGGTTAAAATGATATATACTGATCCTGATTTTGAGTTTTAATTTTACAATCGAGCATGAGTACTTTTTTCTAAAAAATATAGTAGAAATGAAGTGCTTCACGATGTTCTAAGAATATTTACTAAGCCTCGCAAAGTGGACAAGAATGAAGTCGAATTAACCGACAAACTTCGTAAATTTTTGGAAAAAGAAAATATTTGATTGTCATGGATGACGTGTGGACTAACAAGGCTTGGGATGATTTAAAAATTCCGTTTCATAAAAACAAGAAGAAGAGTAGAATTTTACCTACTACTCGTATTGAGAAAGTGGCTAAGTATGCCAACCCCAACATTGATCCAGTGGTGGATCCAACACCCTGTGAGGGGGTGTGACCGAGAGTGCCGGATCCTCCAAAATTTACAATCGCCTCCGTCGGTGGTTGCTTTGGTGAAATTTGAAGGACAGACACAAGGACTTCAATTTGAATTGACGTAGTTGACTTTGCTATTGCTCGTCGACGGTCGACGACTGCCCTAGCTGACTTCTAACTCTGGATCAGTCCCTAGCCAGTGGTGATTCATGATATTCTAAGACAATTTACTAAGGTTAGTAAAGTTGACACAAATGAAGTCGAATTAGCCGATGATTTTCGTAAATTTTTGGACAAAGAAAATGAAAAAAAATAATAGAAAAAGAATAAAGTCTCAACCCCTACTTATAACACTATAAATACAGGAGTTTCGCTTTGCAGTATTCATCACACCAGCAAATACATTCTGATAAAATACTTTCCTACAAAATTACTCATGGCAGCAGTTGCACTTCCCACTTTCTTTTTCATCATAAGGGGGATCGCGGACTACTTCCAGTCAACAGGTACATAACCGATATGGTTATCTCGATAATCTTGATCTCAACAAGGATATATTCGATGATGAGTTGGAATCAACGACCCTTACTTACCAACTCAATTACCACCTGGACACTGCGGGAATTCTAGATTCCGACACCTTGTCCAAAATGATGGGTCCACGATGTGGGGTTCCCGACATAATCAATGGAACAAATACCATGAAACACGGCACCAAACCCTTTAATAATTCACTG